AAAAAACACCCGAAGGACTCCAAGATGGTGAGAAATAAGATTCTCTGGTCTGATGAGACCAAGATAGAACTTTTTGGCCTTAATTCAATCAATTCATTAATGCAATCGAGGGAAGGATGAATGCGGCCAAGTACAGGGATATCCTGGACGAAAACCTTCTCCAGAGTGCTCAGGACCTCAGGCTGGGCCGAAGGTTCACCTTCCAACAAGACAATGACCCTAAGCACACAGCTAAAATAACGAAGGAGCGGCTTCACAATAACTCCGTGACTGTTCTTGAATGGTCCAGCCAGAGCCCTGACTTAAACCCCATTGAGCATCTCTGGAGAGACCTGAAAATGTCAACCAATGTTTACCATCCAACCTGACAGAACTGGAGAGGATCTGCAAGGAGGAATGGCAGAGTATCCCCAAATGCAGGTGTGAAAAACTTGTTGCATCATTCCCAAAAAGACTCATGGCTGTATTAGCTCAAAGGGGTGCTTCTACTAAATACTGAGCAAAGGGTCTGAATACTTATGACCATGTGATATTTCAGTTTTTCTTTTTTAATAAATCTGCAAAAATGTCAAAAATTCTGTGTTTTTCTGTCAATATGGGGTGCTGTGTGTACATTAATGAGGAAAAAAATGAACTTAAATGATTTTAGCATATGGCTGCAATATAACAAAGAGTGAAAAATTTAAGGGGGTCTGAATACTTTCCGTACCCACTGTATGTTAAAGCACCTGGTGAACAACACAGAAAACACCCCTCTTGTCAGAAAGCAGGAGTTGTGGAAACACTGCTTTAGAAAATGCCACAGCCTACCTACTATTACCATAGCCAAGTAGTTTCTATTTCCAAAAGAAACAGATGAAGGAAAATCAAAAGACCTCTTAATGCTGCATACATCTGTGTTAATCTGAAACAGACCTTGAAGGACTTTGAGGAAAGGCGAGTTCCCATTGATGTCTGTGTTGCTGTTTTTTACAGGTGTCCTGGGGTCACTCTCCTCATCTGGGCAAAGCAGGACGTCTATCGGGCCCTTAGTGCTAGTCAGATGGATGGACAAACTCTGGAAACAGACAAACAACAAGAATTCAATCACTTCAAACCAGAACACTGACAAAACTTCATGATCAGTAAACAGACCCCGAGGAAAGATTAAAACCAGATGCGCTTAACTTGGTACATACACAAGCCATACATAAACTAATTACAACGTACAAACTGATGCAAAAGTTTTTCCCAGATCGTGAAAAAGATTCAGTCACTGTGCTCCTCCCGTAGTTATAAAACCCATTCATACAGGATTCTTAATCCAGACCAGCATGCCCCAGACACATCACATTTGATTTAGAGCTAAAACACATACTAATATTTTGTGTGTACAGATGCTCAGAAATGAAATTCCCCAAATGTCCAGCTGTTCTTTTAAGAGAAATACAAATCACAGGTCAGGTAACAAATGAGCATGAAGCAGAAGTTTCATCAGGACACAGATGAGAAATCCAGCCAATGTGTCTGTGTTTGTAGACATACCTCATCGGGGTCTGATACTTCTAGTTTGGTGTCTGTGGGCGCTTTGACAAGTATAACTGTCTGGTCTCTGAGGTTTCCTAGCTGCTTGATGTCTTGGTATGTTATATAGGCATATGTGAAGAAGAAAAGGGTTAAAGAAATAACACTACAGTGTCAGACCTTGTTAATGCTAAACATACATGTACAGATGCCCCTAAAAACACTCACTGTGTGGTGACAAACACCTAAAGTGTTGAGGTGATTGCAGTCCCAATGGAATGCAAACGCTGTTGTTCTAAGATAGATGAGTTAGTTAACAAAGTGGTCCGATACTATGTACCAATACGACTTAATGGCAGCATTACATTAACCTCACGCTGGCTGAGCCAGTCGCTAGGCGGTGGAAGAAAAATAACAGTGGTTCATAGATATTTTAAGATAAGTGACACTGACAAAAGTAAAGCTGACCGTGAGCTCTGATTATCTGCTCTGCTGTGTGTCAGTCAGTTAGAGGTTATATTCAATCAGAATGGAGGCAGTGCTGTGTTTATCACAAAGTTTTCAAATTTGCACAGCCTCTTGTTATATTCTATTTAATCACAAAACGAAGGTAAATCTCATGAAAATAAAAACCGTCTCTAAAGTTTATTTTATGGTAATTGTATTTTCTGTAATAGACACTGCATTATTATTGAGTACTTGTGTCACACTCCATTAGTGAGTAGTCAAATACAAGTACTTGTACTTTGTCTGAAAAAAGTGGTATTGGTGCATCTCTAAATTCAGGGCAATAATGTACAAAACCATATTTGCTTTATGTGGCATGTGCATAACAGATAAGACGGTAAAACCATGTGAAATGTTGGATGACAAAAACAAAACAAAAGGATATTTCTGGTTGGTTGGTAGCTCGCTCATGTGTCTCATATCCAGGCTGCATCTCTGGATAAGCTGTTCAAGCCTCTGTTCTTCTTCTCCAAGTGCAGAAACCTCCTCTGTCAGCCTCTGTCTCTGGCTCAGCGCTCCCTCGACCTCCAACAAACTACAGCCCCTGTGAGTGAAAGGAGAGGAGACTGAATTAAATATTTGGTACAGTAGCTTCAACAGCGCAAAAGTGTTTAATCACAGATGCCCTTTAATTGGCCTGATCCATGGCACTGATACACCTGATTTATATTATGTAGGCAACAGCGGTAAGCACAAGTGCTTTAAGGCCTATTCCTAAACTGCATGTGTGCTTAGTGATTAATGTACAAAGTTGGGTATAACTACATTTACAGAAATTCACAAAGTGTAGCACAGTGTTTCTATAAATGGACTTCCGGGTTGCAAGCGAGAGCAGACGTCTTTACTGCGCCTCTCGTCTGTTCTACGATTTTTCACATCTTCTACATTTTCAAGTCTTTGAACAAATTCTACAACTATTAAAATGCCTCCAAGAGGGAAAAGAGCTAATAAATCAGAAGCGAATGAGGATGTTGAAGCAGAAGAGGATTATATTTCAGCGGCGCAAGTAACAGAGATGTTGAGTCAGCAGAAGCAGATGTACACCGCACTGTTGAGCCAACAACAAGACAACTTCAAAGGTTTTGCGCAACTACTTATTGAGACAAATAACAAGAGACTCGACGACATGACCAGAGAAATACAGGAGATAAAAAC